CCTCACTGACTGCTGTTCACACGGGCCAGAATGTCAGAATAGCTGTAGAATGCATCTCACTTCTTCAGTAGAGGGAAAAAAAATCACTCTAACAGCGGCAATGCTGATGACCACAGACTACAGGATTGATCCAAGACAGACATGGTTGATACCTTGAAGGACTCCTTTCTAAAATGAATTGGGTTTTGTTCTAAGTTTGGCACTGGGGATTTTTGGTTGGTTGGTTGGTTGGTTTGGTTTTTTTCGAGACACTGTCTCACTGTGTAGCCCTGGCTGTCGTGGAACTCACCATGTAGATCAAGCTGGCCTCGAACTCACAGAGATCCGCCTGTTTCTGCCTCCCAAGTGCTGGGATTAAAGGTGTGAACCACTACGACCTGCTGGTACTGGGAATTGATCCCAGGGTCTCATGGATGATAAGCAGGTGCTCTTTCACTGAGCTATACCTCCAGCCCCAGGACATCTGAGTACAGCCTAGCCTAGCTCATTTCCTGTTGCCATAACAGAATAGCTGAGACTGGATATCTAATAAGGAAGAAAGGTTTCTTTTGGCTCATGGTTCTGGAAGCTGGAAAGTTGTAGAGTGTGGTTCCAGCAAGGACTTCTTAAGCATTCCCAACTCATGGTGGAAAACAAAAGAGCAAAATGGGGCATGGGGGGGGACTCGACTTATAGGAGTGCTTTGTCCTTCCAGAGCAAAGCTCACTAGAGAGAGCGTTAGTTGATTCTTGAGAGTTCTTCTGGGAAGCCCATTGCTGTCACAGACTGGGTAGATGTATGGTGTCTGTACGCCACACAGCAGGGCATGGCACAGTTCAACTGGCATGCCATCACAGCTCCCTGGTGTGGTTCAGCTGCAGAAGCTACAGGGCTTCAGAGGACAGGCCCACAGCGAGCCCTGGGCAGCAGGTGTCCTGGGCAGCAGGATGCCCGCTCACCACCCAGAATTAGAAAAAGGAGATGCATCAGAATGGGAGGTGGAGCAGGAGAGTGTGGTCCTTCTCCCTGGCAGAGGTCAGTCCTGGTGCCAGATGCAGAATAGGAGGTGCTTCGTGACTGGAGAAATGATCAACAAGGGGCTGGAGGATGGCTCAGCAGTTAGGAGCCCTGGCTGCTCTCCCAGAGGACCTAGGTTCGACTCCCTGTGCCTACACAGTGGCTCACAACTGTCTGTGACTCCAGTCACAGGATATCCGATGTCCTCTTCTGGCTTTTGGGGGCACTGCACACACTTGGTGCACAGATACACGTGCAGGCAAACACATATACATAAAATAAAAATAAATAAAACCTCAAAAAAAAATTAAACTATCAACAAGCCATATGTCAGCATCTCTCACCCTAAGGGGTGAAGAGTGGACAGTGACCATAGAGGAGACTTCCAGCACCATTGCCCACCCCACATTATACCTTTCCACTTTAAGTTTGTGGAGGTAGCTTAGAGCTTGGCTCAAAAACTCATTTGAGACTGAGGTGGAATTCAGCAACAGAACACTTACCCAGTGTGAACATTCCTGGGACCCATCTTCAGCACTACCATCCCCTAAAAAAGTGGAGCCACCAGCCCAGCTGTTCATGGATGGATGAAGGGAATGTGATGTACATAAACAATGGAATGTTATTCAGTCCAAAGAAAGAAATTCTGACATGGGCTGCAACAAGGGGGACCCCTGAATGGGTGAGCATGCTCCAAGATACTAGCTGGACATGAGGGGACAAATGCTATCCGGTTCCACCTAGGAGGCACCTAGAGGAGAAATTCACAGAGAGTAGATGGTGACAAACACCCATAACCCAACAAACGACCAGAAGCCACCCACCCCACCTCTTGGGAGTGTGGGCATCATGTTCTCTAGACTGCTTCCTGCTATCTGGGGGTGATGGAATCTTTAGGGGACCCCGAGAAAATTGAGCTAGTGATAAAGTCCGGGAGAAACTAGCCCTGATATGTGTCATCCAGTCTCTGTGTAATGGGAAAGCACAAGGTTTATCCGCAGTCCCGGCTAGAATAGTCTGTGAGGCTGGACCATCTCAGCCAACAGCCTTGAAGCTGTTCTGGATGCAGAACTCTGAGGAAACTGTAACAGAGGCACTCTGAGAGGCTGGATCACCTGGGCACCCGTTTTCATTGTTGTCTGGTCCCCTTGCTCGGAAAACACACAAGCTTTCAAAAAAAAATCTGCATTAATACAAGTATGGACTGTGAGTTGTACACAAGCCAGCCAAGATGATTTTTTTTTTGTTTTATGTTTGAGCAGGTAAAATATACGTCACCTGTCTTGTAGTTTGTCTAGGTTTATTTCTTTAACCAGAATTTTCAAGGGGTCTCCCCCAATCAAACCTGATCTCTATCAACCTTGAATGAATCTGTGGGAAAAAAGCATAACCTCTTCCCCAAAACAATACATTTCTGACTTCCATTTTAAAGTTAAGGCATTCTTAAAGTATCTAGGCTGGTTTAAATCAGCAGTCCCTCTCAGAATCCCATGTCTCTCAGCAACTGTCATTTGCTCATCATCAATGATGATTAAAAAATTCAAAGTTAACAAGGCACCAAACAGGATCCAAACTCCCTGCGTATTTTCCATCTTTACATGGCTTATCCTTTTTATATTATTTTATTCTCTCTTTAAAGACTTTATTATTTATAAACTATTTTTTTCTATGACTGTCTATACTCATTTTCTTTTCTTTTAAGCCTACATACATTTTTTTAAACACACTGTAACCTGTTTAGAGGTTTTTTTCCATATGGATCTGTCTGATCTGAACTGAGCACCTGCAGTGTTCTCCGACCGTGTGAGACAAATTTTAAACTGCCATGTCAGCTGTCAAGCACAGCTCAGCTTAGCACATGGTGCTGGCACATGGTGCTGGTGGCTGGCTCTAGCCCACAGGCAACAGCTGGTAGCTGCGCCTCTATACACCACGCACCAGCCCACCTGAGAGAAAGCTACATGCAGCTTCTTGTCCAGAACTTTTCTTAGCTTTCTCAGGCCTGGTGTAGATATTTGAGCCCCCACATTGGACACCATGTGTAGACAGATTTTTCTTTGGACCACCAGCTCACAAAAGATGACATGGAGACTTATTATTATTAGGAAAGCTTGGTCTATATGTTAGGCTTGTCCCACTTGCTCTTATAACTTAAATTAACCCATTTATGTTAATCTATGTTTTGCCTCATAGCTTTTTACCTCTCTTCCGTGTTGAACCTCCTGTTTCCTCTCTGTGTCCTCTGGTGTCTCTCTCATGCCTAGATTCATCTCCTCTCCTTCTCTCTCTGTCTGGAAGTCCCACCTAACCTCTTCCTACCTAGCTATTGGACATCCAGCTATTTATTAAACCAATCAGAAGGCGCCTTGGCAAAGACACATCTTTACAGTATAGAAAAAGATAATTGCACAACACCCCACACACACCATGACTGTAGTAACAGGGACCTGAACCAGCTCTACCACAAGCCCTCTACACCCCCATCTTCCTGGTCCAGGACCTGCACTGGGAAAGGAGGGGACCTTGACTAAATGTTTGTTGAACTGTGGTGTTCTTTCAGTGTGGTGCCACCTCTGTGATGAGCACTGGCAGAGAAGATATCTGTTAAATCCTTGAATGAATACTTGTTTGTAGATCAGCAGACAGAACAAATGCCTGTGGCCTCCTTTGCCCCTACCTCGCTTCATGCAGCCTGCCAGTAGATGTAGCCAGGCTCTGTTTTTAACCCACCTGAGCCGCTCTGCCAGATGGCTAGGAACTGGCCTATGGAAGGCTGGCATGCTAAGCCTCCATCACCCTGGAGACTTCCATCCAACCTGTATCCAAATTGTTGGGATTTATAGCTTCAGCTTGGGGAATTCAGACATGTGTTACACACTCCAGATGCTCTCCAGTGGTGTGGTAGAGATGGCAGACAGCGGAAGATGGTGGATGAATGGAGTTCACACTGTTAGTGAAAGCATCACTTTCCAAAATAGCATGTACAGTGTGGGCTGGATTATACAAATATGAACATATAATGCTTGAACATATGCCAGCAGAATGTATTATCTCCACACATCTTGGAGAGTGCATGTACATATGTGCATGTTCTCCAAGCCAAAGATGTCAGGAAGCTTGTTAAAATGCCCATCCTCAGGCCTCACCACAGGCTGCTAAGTCACAAGCTCTGGTGGGCCCCAATTTCTGCTTTAGAAATCCTGTAGGGGTTGGGGATTTAGCTCAGTGGTAGAGCGCTTGCCTAGCAAGTCCCGCCTAACCTCTTCCTACCTAGCTATTGGACATCCAGCTATTTATTAAACCAATCAGAAGGCGCGTTGGCAAAGACACATCTTTACAATATAGAAAAAGATTATTGCACAACACCCCACACACACCATGGCTGTAGTAACAGGGACCTGAACCAGCTCTACCACCTAGCCCCCAAATAAATACAGGGAGATTTATTCTTACTTCTGAATGACTGGCCTTAGTTTGACTTGTTTCTAGCTAGATTGTCTGACTTAAATTATCCCGTTTCTCTTTAACTACATTTTGCCTCTAGGCTTTTTAACCTTTCTTTATTCTATATGTCTTTCTTTCCTTCCTACTCTGTAACTGGCTGTGTAGCTGGGTGACTGGCCCCTGGGGTCCTCCTCTCCTTTTCTTGCACCTTGCTCTTCTCTGGAGCCTAGATTTCTCCTCCTATTTATTCTCTCTGCCTGGCAGCCCTGCCTATCCCTCTCCTGCCTAGCTATTGGCCATCCAACTCTTTATTAGATCAATCAGGTGTTTTAGGCAGGCAAAGTAAGACAGATATACAGAGTTAAACAACTGTAACATAAAAGAATGCAACACATCTTTGTATCATTAAACAAATATTCCACAGCATAAATGAATGTAACATATCTTAAACTAATACTCCAAAACAGAATCCCCCTATGCAGTCCTAACGCCTACCTGAGTTTGAGAACCTCTGGTGACAGCATTCTCCTTCCTTGGGCTCACCCATGTCTCTGCTCTAGGCCCTGATCCAGCTGCCCCCCTACATCTCTCAGTGTGATGAGGTACTGCAGTTTTTTGAGACAAGACCTGAGGACCTGAATCCTCCCAAAGAGTAAGTTGGTCTGTGGACTTACCCAGGTGACACCTCCCTCCCTCCCTCCCCTCCTACTGTGCTTTCTGACCCTCAGGGATCTAGAATCAGCAAAGTATAAACTAAGCCCGAGGTCATTGCCTTGGCCCCTGCAGGGCCTCACTGCCTGCAGCCTGCACAGTCACTGCACATGGGTATGGATGGTCCCATTTGACAGGCAATGGAACCTGGCTAAGTATCCCTAATCCACAGTTCTTCTACACCACCACCATGCTTACCAAAGAGTGTGATGGTTGCGTAGACTGAGAGTCTTTCCTCGGGTCCCCACTCCCCCAAATGCATAGAAAACTTGGTCCCAGGATCTAAAACACTTATCAGATAGAGGCAGAATCGAAGGAGTCTTTCTTAGAAGAAGCCTGGGTTCCTGGAGTGGGCTTGGATTCATCCACTCACTAAGGATGCTGTGGGGTGGAGACTCTCAGCATCCTAATGGGATCAGCTCAGTACATAACACTGAGGATGCTGTGGGGTGGAGACTCTCTGCATCCTAATGGGATCAGATCAGTACATAACACTGAGGATGCTGTGGGGTGGAGACTCTCTGCATCCTAATGGGATCAGATCAGTACATAACACTGAGGATGCTGTGGGGTGGAGACTCTCAGCATCCTAATGGCATCAGCTCAGTACATAACACTGAGGATGCTGTGGGGTGGAGACTCTCTGCATCCTAATGGGATCAGATCAGTACATAACACTGAGGATGCTGTGGGGTGGAGACTCTCTGCATCCTAATGGGATCAGATCAGTACATAACACTGAGGATGCTGTGGGGTGGAGACCCTCAGCATCCTAATGGGATCAGCTCAGTACATAACACTGAGGATGCTGTGGGGTGGAGACCCTCAGCATCCTAATGGGATCAGATCAGTACATAACACTGAGGATGCTGTGGGGTGGAGACCCTCAGCATCCTAATGGGATCAGATCAGTACATAACACTGAGGATGCTGTGGGGTGGAGACCCTCAGCATCCTAATGGGATCAGATCAGTACATAACACTGAGGATGCTGTGGGGTGGAGACCCTCAGCATCCTAATGGCATCAGATCAATACATAAGAAGGACTGACTGGCTCTCTCTCACTCCTCTCTCCTACACAGGGAGCATATTGGGAAGAAGAAATCAGGTAAGCATATATTCCATTCTCTTGTTCTCATTCCTGCCATGTGCCCTTGTTGGGTTCCATGCTGGGGGCACAGCAATGCAGATGAATGGTAGGTGGATGGATGGATAGACAGGGATACATGGAGAGATGGATGATGATCAGGTATGTAGTTGAATGCTTGGGTGGGTAGACAGAGAGATGATGGATAGATGGATGGGTAGTTTTGTATGTGGATGATAAGATGGATGAATGGATGAGTTGATGATTGATGATTAACTAATACCTGACCCTGTCTCTCAGAAGAAGGATTTGAGGTTGTTTCATCCCTTAACAAAACTACTATGGAGTGGATGAGATGAGAGTGCCCTTGTGGCATGAGATGACAAATGTCTTCCTAACCATGCCGCAGAGGGTTCTGTACCTCTGTTCCACTTTATACAAAGCACTGTGGACACTCAGAACCTTCTCAAGTGCTGGGAGGGTGAGAGGATGCAGGGAGAGGTGAGATGCTGGAGGCCCTGAATCATGGCACTGAGGGTGAGCTTTCCAAAGAGAGAAGGGAATTCCAGAATGAGAGGACACCAAGCATTGAAGCAGGGAGGTGAAGCCCGCTACAGATCTGGGTCTGGTCATTTGACAACCTCAGCTCTGGCTGGCCTCTAAGCTTCCTTCAGCCCACTGTTTTGGTCAGAGCTTGGTGCCTGTCACTCTAGCCTTTCTGGGCTCCTTTCTCACACAGGAAGTTTTCTGTTCTTAGGATGATGCCCCTCTTCTAGCAGAGGTAGTCATGGAAGAGAGAAGGTGGGACTGGGGGTGATGATTCCCACAGGCATGTGCACTCTTTAGACCAGGTCACCAGCCCCACTCTTCTTATATGGTCCATGCTCCTGAGGGCCCCTGAATACAGTGTGGGTTTCAGAGCTTCCGGGGCCCTGGCCTCTAATCTCCTTGAACCCCAGGAAGTTTGAGAGGCTCCATGTATGGGAAGGAGGAGGCACAAGCAGAGATTCCAGAAGTGAAAGCTGATGACTCAGTTTCCTCCTGTGTGATATCCAGGCCTGAGTGTGTGGTGGGACACTTCTCCACCATGAACAAGGCCCTGAGTTCCATTCAAGCGCACACGCATTCCCATGTACACACACACACACACACACACACATACACACACACACACACACACACACACACACACACAAATGATAATGTGTTTTATAGGATTGTCAGAAGGTCTATAGTAGTATATGATAAACACATTAATAGTAATATTTAATTGATGCTGTTTGATTATCACTCAAGCCTGTCAATATCTCTGGGAGCAGGTCCACATTTCCCGGCTGTGGTCTTCCTTTTCTGCTGGGATTAGGGCCTGGGTCAGCTTTACAGGCCTCTAGGCTGATCATGGCGGAAAGTGAGGACAGAAGCCCTACCTCGTACCTCTTTCCTTGAGGCACGGCTTTTGGCATCAGACCAGCTCCGTTGGCTCATTGACTGCATCCGGCTCTCCTTTGGGGTTTAGTGGGCACTGGCCACAACCATGGCATCCTGCTAAAGCTGCAAATGGCCCTCAGCCTGGGATAATGACACCTTTCTTTTCTTAGCAAAGATCAGAGAGCAGCTGCCATTCTGGGCTGGTCTCAGAGTTTCTGGCTTTGAATATGCAGAGGCTCCCCTAGAAGGAGCAGGAGAGAAGGAGGAGAGAGAGGGAAGAGGCAGCTCTGATTAGTGAAAATGAGAGTGTCCAGTTGGAAGAGGCTTGATGAGGGGACCTGTCTGGAAAAGAGAGCCGAGGCTCTAATTTGTGGTGACTGTGGTTGACATCACTCACCTGCAGTGGTGGGGCTCAGGTTTATTTATAATCCCACTGGCTGGAACGTGGCACCTTTCTTCATTCAGGCTCTGAACCCTCGATGGGCTCCTTATTTAAATGACGGGTGGACACTGCCTTGACTTTTAGAGCCGGCCTTTTTGATTGAATTTTAAAGAGATGTAAATTAAAAACAGACCTTATTCCTATGACAAACTCTGGATGGAAGAAGGCTTGTCTGTCCCTAGCACTGCCCAGTCACAGCCAGCTGGCTCCTGCAGACTTGACTCATGTGGCCTCAAATTCTGCTCATCCCACGGAGGGGTGGGGGTGGCACGACATCTTACCACAGCTGAGCAGGTCATCTGATGGCTTGCAAGAGCTTTTTTTTCTTGATTTTTGCTTATTTACAGATTCTTCCAGCAAGCCTTGCAATTTAGTGAACTTATGGAAGGAAAATAAATCTCACTTTGGCATTACTCATCATTTTAAACATTCAAGACATGTCATCAGAAAGAAAAAACACCTAACTCAAAAGTTTGTCTGGTAGAGTAGGCACTGTGTGGCTTGAGAATACTTTTAGCGTTAATGACAGAAATAACCCTTCTGCTGTCGATTCCTTGTGGGTCATGTGATATATAGCCTAGGAATCTTTTGATTTCATCCTTGGCAACTTCTAGGACCTATCTGCCTCAGAGGATCCTAATACCATTCATAATAGGGCTTAGTTGCAATATCACACTCCGCCAGTAGGGGTCCCTACATGACACCTGAATGGTCATTTAAGGCTACTGTCTACTTATTTGTTTGTTTGTTTATTGTCATTAATGTTGATAAATGGGGTGTTCTGAGTAAAACGCAGACAATTTGCCCTGGAAGCAGTGCTGAAAAGCAGTTCCTTGCTCTTACCTCTAAAGCACGCCTCAGCAAGAACCTGCAGCCTATGTGGCTGTCTGGCTTTGGTGAACTGTTGACCTGTGAGGAGGTGGTAGTTGACAGCTGGGAATAGTGACAATAACCTTTGAGAAACGCAAAGAAAGGACACAGCTTGGCTGGATTCTGGGATGGACTCAGGAACTCCAGGGAAAGAAAGCCAGAGACCTCAGACATTGCCTCCTTCATCCACTTCCACATCTGGATGGGGAGCCCGTAGCCAGCTATGTGGTTAGGGACAATTCACTTACCGTCCTCAGCCTGTTTTCTTCCTGTGACAGGCTGTGCCCACCTCAAGCACAGTGATACTGGAAAAGTTTACGATGGTCCACAGCCCATGAGGCGTTCTTTTCCAGGCTTCCCCCCATCCAGCCTTCTTCAGCAACTCCATCCTTCGTCTCTTCTCTCCCTTCCCCTCATGCTCTCTCCACTCAGGTGCAGGTGGTTAGCGCAGTCCCTGTTCAGATGCCTTCCTTCCATCCCCACAGCAGGAAAGGGTCGGTGGCCAGAACCTGCTCACAAAGCCAAGAAGCAGGCCGTCCCCCCGCCCCCCACATGGCATGCTGGCCCCTTCTCTTTGACGTCTCTGAACTGAGATGTTCCTTTTAAGTCTTCTGCGTGGTGTTTTTGTGTGTGTACCCATCTGTCTTGGTGGGTAGCAGGGCTGCACAGCTCCGGGTGACACACGCATCGCTCACCAGGGAAGCCGCCTGCCTGGAAGCACTTCCCACACTTTTCCCTTCTGGGACCACTGCTCAGCTCCAATGTCCCCGTTGCCTCTTGCGAGGTCACCCCCTCAGCCTGGAGTGCTCTCCCTTGCCAGGCTCTGCCTCTCTCTAATTGGCAGACAGAGCCACTTGTCCAGCTGTAAATATTGCCATTCCCTTCATAGAACTCTTTTCTTTTTAATTAATTTACTTATGTATACAAGTGCTCTATCTGCACGAAGGACTTTATGCCAGAAGAGGGCACCAGATCCCATTACAGATGGTTGTGAGCCACCATGTGGGTGCTGGGGATTGAACTCAGGAACTCTGGAAGAGCAGCCAGTGCTATTAACCACTGAGCCATCTCTCTAGCTCCCCCTTCATAGAACTCTTTAATTGACGCCTCAGGATTTAAAAATCCAAACTTATCAAGTCCTTGGCCTCAGACCGGTGCCTTCCTCAGGCACTTCTCTCAGTACCCTGCCCTCCTTCTGGCAGAACTCTGCCTCCTAGCCTCCCCCTATTCCTGAAGGTTCCCAGGCCTTCTCCATCATGGAAGACTCCACCTGCCCCAGTCCTCCCCAACTCCAAGGACACCTTCCGTCATGAGTCTTGGCTTTCTGTCATTTCCTGGGAAGTCTTGCTGACGAATCATTTGGTACAACTTTGCCTTGTCTGTTCCTTCTCTGTCCCGCCATGCTGGATATTTCCAAACTGACACTTACATGATTTGATCTCCAGTATGTGTGTGTGTGTACATATATATGTGTAAATGTATGTTTTCCACGTGTCTATTTCCCCTATTACTTGAGACTGTCAGTCATCCATTTCATCCATTTTTGTGCCTGTGGTCTCCAGCAGAATACGTGGTGCATCACTGGAGACTAATGAGTTCATAGGTGAGGAATTTAGGATGAAGTTAGGTGGATGGAGGCTGGCTGGCTGGTGACCTCAGCCTTCAAACTATTGAGCTCCCCGATAAGCAGCCAGCTTCTAGGCATGTGCCACATCTTATTCACTTGGAACCCCTTGGAACTCCCAGTGCTCTTGGTAAACTTTGGTGGCTGAGTAAGCAAGTGGATGAGAGGAGGCAAGAATCAGGAGTTGAGGGCGTGAAACAAATCCTGTAACAAAGATTTTCTCTGCTTAGAAAGTCCTCTGACCCACGGGGCGGTGATGGCACACGCCTTTAATCCCAGCACTCGCGAGGCAGAACCAGGCAGATCTCTGTGAGTTTGAGGCTACCCTGGTCTACAGAACAAGATTCAGGACAGGCACCAAAACTACACAGAGAAACCCTGTCTCAAAAAAAGGAAGAAAGAAAGAAAGAAAGAAAGCCCCCTGACTCAACCTTTCCCCTGGTTCCTTCTCTTCCATGCATGGGCAGGAGCTAACAGGGTGTCTGATGGCATTTGCTGTCCACAGGGAGTGACCTGACCTCAGTGGACCCCATGGTCCTGGAGCAGTATGTGGTGGTGGCAGATTATCAGAAGCAGGAGAGCTCAGAGATCAGCCTCAGCGTGGGCCAAGTAGTGGACATCATTGAGAAGAATGAGTCAGGTAAGGATGTGGACCACCTTCCCCGCGCCCTCCACCATCACCAAGCCCCACAAACCAGAAGCATGTGGGAGCTCCAAAACAAATAAGCAGACCAACATGGTCCGACTCCCCAGAGCCACTGAGGGCGGGCTCGTAGCCACTGCCTCAGCAGCCTGTTGGGTCCGATGTTACCAATGTTCTGATGCTCAGTACCATAAACATTCCCTCTGGTTTTCAAGTACTTATCAACAGAGTTGAGCACTCCACTGAGAATTTTCTTGTTGATTTCCCTTGGGAGTCCTCTAGAAGGCTGCAGATCTGAGAGAGATGGCACACTCCTGTAATTCCAGCACTTGTGTTATGGAGACGAGAGAACCTCGAATTCTAGGCTATCTTGGGCTACATAGGAGACTGTGTCTCAAAAAAAAAAAAAATAGAAGAAACTGTTTCGAGAAGATGGACATCTGCCTGTCCCCTCAACCAACCTGTCATCCCAGGACCACTGGTCACATCCATTGTGTGTGTGGGTGGGGGGGGGGGTGATTGAGACTGGGGGCCTGAACTCTACACTGCACATCAGTCCAGGTCACTTCATATCTTTGGCCACCAGCTCTGTCATTCACAAAACACAGAAAACTGTCGAAGGACTGCTGAAAGAGTAAATGATAGAGTGTAGAGAGAGACTTGGCACACAGCATGTGCTCCAAAAATGCACGTTTCCTTCCTTCTTCCTCTTCCCTTAGCTACATAGCAGCCATCATACCATGCAGGAAAAGCAGGGAGTGAGCAGCCCCTCTCCCAGGCTGGGTTTCCAGGGGCTCGTCATGTTGCTAGGGGCCAAGCTCTATGATAGCCCGGTGGCTGGTTAAGTCCACGTAACTGTGGAAGGACGATGTGTCCAGCATCCTTCAAGTTTCCATTACTCATGTTAGTCATGAGACCAGCGTTAGCCAATCAGACCCTACTGTGCAATCTAGGAATAGTCCCTGCTTCCAAGAACACAGGAAAACGGTGTTTCCGGCATCCTCTGGGTCATGTCACCACTAGTCACGAGGCTGGTGTTAGCCAACCATACCTCCATAATTATGCAATCTAGATGTCATTGGCTTTGAGGACCTGGAAGGAAGTACTGCTCCAGCATCATTTCAGTGTCCCATGCTCTAACTCTTCCAAGGTCACGTCTGTGACTGTCAAAGGTATGAGGGGGATCTCTCCCACAGCAAGCAGCACCCACGTCTTCAGTGAACACCCGAAGGGCCTTTAGTCCAATTCTGTTCTGACACTGCCCACCTAGTGGTAGCACTGGATCGCAAAGGCTCAGTCCCCCAGTCCGTCCCTCGTTGCCTTAGCCAGGTACAAACCCAGTTGTTCTGCTGTGCGTCCTACAGCTGGCTATCAAGCATGGTTCACACAGCCCCTCTGTCTCCATTAAGTGGCTTATATGACCAAGAGAAACATGCCTGCAGGGCCATTGTCAAGGATGCTCCAAAGGATATAGGTAAAGGGACGCTCAGGCAAGTGGTAGGAGAGACCCTGGACTCACATACCCTCTGTGGGTGCTACCCTCCAGGAACTTCTGTGCTCGGCAAACTCTCCAAACCCCTGGGGTTCTCAGAGATCTCACTGCACAGTTGACAGCTGTGTTGACCTGTGATTGAATAAAAGGGGTCAGATCAAATGCTAATAGATGCTGGGGAAGCCAGCCAGGCTGCTCATCCAGACTCTTCTTGGCCTCTCTGTTGTATTTGTATTCCAGGGTATGGGGTAGGAACTCTTCCAAAATGGGATTTTATAATCTATTATCAAAGTAGGTCAGATAATTTAATTTCTTTATAGCTAGGAGCTCCAGGATGGAAAAGATTAGAGCATATTTTTAGCTTCTATGACTTTCCTTGCAGAAGGGAAATCCTTGCTTCCATGCCTGCATTGGGCAGAAAAAGCAGATGCAAGGGGCAGGCAGGAGGCGGACAGAGAGAGAGGCTGCATCCCAGTCTTCTGAGGCCTAAAGTACCCCAAGAGTATTCTTGCCACTTAAGTCATGAAACCTATGGGAATAGCGACCCGTGGATGAAAACTGAAAAATACACATCACTTTAATCTCTGTGCTATAGCTGAATGAACCAGACTCCAAATGACTGATCATTTGTCCCCAGGTCTCTACAGGCTATAGAGCTGGAGTTCCACTGTTCCTAACTCTTTGTGGTTTTCTAGCTCCCAAGAGAGATGTATGCAGGCTATATGGCAAGGAGATACCAGGGGACATGAAAAAAGGAGTCCCCATTCCCTGGGCCGCCAGGATGGGTTGCTAGGGAAGATGTGAAACAGGAAATTATATTGGGCAGATAATGCTCCAGCCCCTTATATAAACAGGCAGAGAGTTTGCTTTTGGCCTGTACACAACCCCCATACACTTTACATCCTAAGTGGCATTGTGCTTCATGTAATATAGGTACCACGTGAATAGTTATTTTACTGTATGTTTAGAGCAGAGGTTCTCAACCTGTGAGTCGTGACTCCTTTGGGAATCACATATCAGATGTCCTGCATATCAGATGTTTACATTACGATTCATAACAGTAGCAAAATTACAGTTCTGAAGTAGCAACAAGATAATTTTATGGTTGGGTATCACCACAACATGAGGAACTGTATTAAAGGGTCACAGCATTGGGAAGGTTGGGAACCGCTGGCTTAGGGAGTAATATCAAGGGTCTATGTATTCAGGACACATGGAGTTGTGGTTTTTTTTAAGGTGTTTTTTTTTTTTATTTCATGGTTGGTAAACACAAATGTAAAACCCAGATACTGAGGGATTAGAACATGGACATCTTTAGGTGGAGGCCATTAGACCCGCAACAGCCCTTCCTCAGAGAGCACATGGTGTGAGTGTAAAGCCTGTCAAGCAGTCAGACCTGTGGCCAGATTCCTCTTGACACGCACCAAGTACCTTTTGAGGCCAGTGCCTTTAGGATCAGACACCGATTACAGCCCTGCCACATGCTTGATGGACATGGTCACATCTGTTACCCTCTTTGTGTCTCAGTTTCCTCATTGTGCCGTGAGGACAGTAATGTGAAGGTCATACAAGATCGTGCAAGTACAGTGAGCAGTCCTTTGCACATCCTACTAATGGCAAATGTTTTACAGGCTCCTTACTCGGGGCGACCTCCCTCATCCCTGTCCCGGGCTCAGGATCAAGTTTCTTGTTAGCTTATTTTTTAGCAATTAGTACCTACTATTGGCAGTTGCGTTCTGCCCAGTGAACTAGTTATTTTTTTAGCCTAACTTGAACATTAACTGTTGAGTAACAGAATGTACAGTCAGCTTCCACACCTGTGGATTCTGAATCTTTGGATTCAACCAACTATGGGTAGAAAATAATCAAGAAAAAAACAATGTGATTGTGCTGAACATGTCCAGAGCTTCCCCCCCACCCCCACCGTGACCCCCAGACATGCAGCCTAACTGTTGACAGCTTTGACATCCTATTGGCAGAAGTCTCCTGCGGATGAGTTCAAGTCTACAGGGGTGTGGGAGGGTCCTAGGTGTGTCCTGTACCCTTTATATGAGGGACTGCTGTATGTGAGGACCTGCCGCCCTCAGGGCACCTCTAAACAGACCCGTATGTGCCGAAGGACAGCTGGATTATTACACACACACACAAACACACAACACACACACACACACACACACACACACACACACACGTACGCACACACGCACGCGCGTGCACTTTGCCCCACTGACAGCGCCTTGCATTCTTCTTACAGGTTGGTGGTTCGTCAGCACCGCTGAGGAGCAAGGCTGGGTTCCTGCGACCTGCCTCGAGGGACAGGACGGTGTGCAAGATGAGTTTTCCCTCCAGCCTGAGGAAGGTAGGAGGGAGCTTCCTGGTCACCCCCTCTCGGCAGCCTCTGTTCTGGGATTGATAGCTCACTAGCTCAGGGTCCAGAGCCTGTGAACAGATTGGGATTAGAGCTATAGGGTAAGCCCATGCTTCCTTATGGGTTTGTGGGAGCTGCCTTAGGTGAGTCTTGTCAAAGCTAGGCCCTCACCCTTTTATGGGACTCCCAGCCTGACTGCTGCTGACACCTTCTCGAACACTGACACAATACCAAGCTGTACGTGCCCATTTGCAAGTCTTTTGACCCTGTCTGTTTAAACATGCCTGATTTTTCTGTTGGTGTAAGTGTTCCCTTCTGTCTCCCACACACTTCCTTTTCCAGGGGACATCTCATGGTAGATGTTCTATGTGGTGATGCCTGACACTCCAGCAATGCGGAGGCCCGTGCTTCCTCTCCCTGAGAACTTCCCAAAGCAGAGTCCCTCAGTGCCTCTGGTAGCACACAAGTGTCTGGGAGTCAGACAGACCTGAGTGTGAATCTTACCTCTGCCACATACAGAGTAATCTTGGGACAGAGACACCTCTCTAAGCCTCAGCCTTCTCTGCTGAACATGGAAACGTTGTGACCTGTGTCCCCATCCTGCCTGGGGGTAGGGGAGTGTTTTTGGGGTTCAGTGGGTGGCTCTGAGGAAGCAAAGAGACAAATGAAGTATGTCAGAAAAGGGGGTAAAGAGAGGAGGGTCTAGAAACCCCAAAATTTACACACCCAAATATCGAGTGTGGCTTTGCATTGAGTTGACACTCTGCAGAGTTTGTTTGCTCTGCTTCTATGGCCCTCCAGGAGCTGGGGGCCAAGCTACCACAGGCTACCACAGGATGAGCTCAGATTAATGGGAGGGGATACACTGATGGCAGCCTGTGCCTCCTTACACAGTCTGTGATTGCATGCCTGAGAAGAAACTATTAGCCCCATTTCACAGATGTGGAGTCACGCTCAGAAAGGCTGGGTTTTGCCCAGGGCCACACAGCTAGAGCACATCTTCCTACAGGTTTGGGCGTTTTCTTTCCCTCTACTGTGACAGTTTATCAGTATAATCACTCTAGGAATAGAATGTCTACTGGACACCTCTTCACTCATTCCCCAGGCACCTCCTCTCAGGATGCCTGGAACTGGGAATAGACTCAGCACCTAGGGAACCTTGTTAGGTGCTCCCAGACCTACAGCCCCTGGGAGTCCGTGTCTCTTAACTCTGCCTTCTGCCCTCCCTCCAACATGCTGCCTGGCCAGTCTCCTGGAGGTACTGCTCTCTGCCCCGGTCTGTGGGTCGCCGCCGGACTCTGGGGGACTTGTATGCCATCAGCTGGCGTCAAGGTGCCTACCCTTGGAGATTTCTTTGCATTTGGTGCTTGGAGCCAGGTCCTTGCATCTATCTGCATGAATTCCCTGCTCTGGGATTGCGTGTGTCTGCTGCATGTGAAAAACACGATCTTGTCATCTTGTGTGTGCAAGCATGCAGGATGGGGAGGAGTGGGCCTGGGGTATCTGACGGCCTTGGGGCTCTGAAGTGTCCCAGTTTAAAAAGGTGCCTGGGTCTTCTATGATAGTGACTGGGCAGCCCCATTACTTTTACCAGACTTGTTTGAGTCACAGGAGGAAGCCACATCAACCAGATTAAGCAAAACCAAAAGTATGAAAAGCCAGGTTGGTGGTGAGTGGTTCGTATGTGTGGCAGGCACTTGAAGGCTGGGACAAGATGATCATGAGTTTGAGGACAGCTTGAGCTGCATAATGAATGAGACACTGTCTTTTAAGGAATAGGAAGTGTCACTAAAAAGCCAGGCTAGAACTAGCTTCAAGCAAGGCTGGATGTACCCTCATCACCATGCCCTATTCTGTTTCATTGACACAGCTCTATTTCCAATCCCAGGCACCTGTCGGGGATAGTCACCAATAACTCAGCTTCTCCTCCAGCACAAGCACTAAGACTGGTTCCCCCTAGCCCTCCCACTGTGTGCCATCCCTGAACCAATTTGCAATAGCCAGGCCTTGTACTGTGACTAGACCAGGGTCATAGGCACATCTCCCTCCAGGAGGTAGGGGCTCAGCCACCCCTACTGCACATGGATGAACCACGAGCAGAAAAACAGGCATTGCTTGTGCAGACTCTGAGCTCAGTCTGGAGTCACTCAGCATCTCTGGAATCCCACAGCTTGAGAACCCTCCCAGCTGGAGCCTGAGGGGACCCAGAGCTCATGGGTTTGAATGCACTCAGATGAGGACCCAGATAGTGCCCCTTCCCACCTGAACCACACAAAACTACTGTGCTTGGCCGGCAGAATCCCACTTTCCTTCCTCCCTCCTACCCCAGCCTGGTACCTGCTGAATCAGCACAAGGGGAACTAGCTGACCATGCTGAACACAAGATGTGTGCCACAAGTCAGCACAGCCCCCTCAGTCGGTCAGCAGGCCATTTCAATAAATAAATAACTGCCTGAGTGCTTCCCACCTCCTCTGCAGCAGCTGGCTGGCAACGGATACCTTAAGTGTTTTTCCCAAGAAGCACGAGCACTGGGTCATGGTTGGCTCAGCCTCTCACCTATGAACTGAAATGTAATCTAAGAACAGCCCTCTCTTCTCCTTGCTGGGCTCCCCTGGGACATGTGTTCGTGTTTCTCTGTGTCAGCAGCCAGAGCAGACACTGGAAATGAGAACTGTTCCCTTACCCTCCCAAGCATCCTGCCCAGGGTCTGCCACTGAGCAGGACCTCTGGGCTGCTGTGGTAACACAGTGGGGGATGGCTCTCGGAGGAGTGTGGGCTGTCAGGGCGGTGCTGTGGCTTGTGGGGAGAGTGGGTCGGGAAGGAACCCAGCCATGCAGGTAATAAGCGTGATCGGATCAGGGCTGCAACATGGCCAGTAAAAAGTAGACTCTAGTCACCATCGAGGTCATGAGACGTGCTCTCTGTCCCCTCCTTGGTGGCAATTTCAGCTTATGTCTGGACTCTTGGTCTCCATAAAGCAAGAGCTAGCAGGAGCGCAGGAGGCTTAACTCACTCTGTGAACCCGCAGGGGGGTTTCAGAACATGCTCCCTCCCTAAACAGAGGCTCATTCATAAAACAGTTACCAGCTTTTCCAGGCACAGTCCAGTGCCAGAGACAGAGACATGACTCACATAGACCAATCTCTGCCTTCATGGAGCTCATACTCTTCCCAGAGGAAGTAGAGTTAGAGGTAATTCCTGGAATTGGGGAGCTAACCTGAGGGAGGGAGATGAAGATGCTGTGGGTTTGAATGTTGCATGAAGTCATGGACCATGACCTTGAGGTCCAGATTGGAAGGAAAGGAGGGAGGTTCTGTAATGCCAAGGCCGTCAGAAGGACTGGGGCCTCTAGAGCTCAGCGGGAGCCTGGGGAGCCAGAGATCTCGCAGAGAAGTTCTCTCCTTGTGATCCCAGTTCACAGCTAGCATCCTGGATTCCTCCGGTCTCTTTCTCACCCCATCACCCTGTGTCCCTGCAGAGGAGAAGTATACAGTCATCTACCCATACACAGCTCGTGACCAGGACGAAATGAACCTAGAGCGAGGGGCTGTGGTGGAGGTCATCCAGAAGAACCTGGAAGGCTGGTGGAAGATCAGGTAGCTGCCTGTGCCTCCCTTGTGGTTCGGTGGGTTCTGGGTCTAGCATGGGCTCCAGCTTCACAGAGATCTGTGAGAAACTGCGGGCAGGTGACATTTCTGCCTCAGCTGGGAAAGGACACATCTTAATGTGATTTGGCCTCCCTCCCTGCCCATAGCTTTCCTGTAAAGTCCTAACAGGCAAAACCTCTGAGTTCTCCAAGCCTCAGAGAGTAGAACACTATTATATGTCTTACACCAGAGCCTGGGTGTGTAGTGAGCTGCTCTGTCTAAGTTCGTGTAAAATGGTGTTTGCACAGGGTAGAAGTCACCTAATAAAGCATTTCTCAGAAATCACCCAATCACTAAATGACATGTGACTGTCACGGTACCGTGCTGCAGAGTAACATACCCTGGCACTCACAGCTCTGGAGTTCAGGGGGCAGTTACCAGGGTGAGCTTAAGGGTCCTCCAAAGCTGGGAAGTATCGGTACCCGTGCCCTCCTCGCCCCAGAGCCTGCTCACGCTCCCATGTGTGCTGTCTGTGCTTATGGCCTTGTGCCCCAAATGATGGCCTGAAGATGTGCATTGTGCTGCATTTTAGCTAGCTTTTTCCACTTAAAGCAAGACTTACTCCCTCTTAGAAGGCTTTTTAAGTTTGACAAATGCTTAATTGTACAGATTTCTATCTCCTTGTAAATTTGCCTCCAGTTACAAGTGACCTGTTTTTCACTGAAACCCAGGCCATTTTGTTTCTAAAGTAGTTTTGTTTTGTTGTTGTTTGGGTTGTTTGTTTGGGGTTTTATTTTGTTTTGAGACAGGCTTCTACATAATGCTGACTATCCTGGAACTCACTCTGTAGACCAGGTTGGTCTCGGACTCACAGAGATCCTCCTAGCTCTGCCTCCAGAGTGCTGGGATTAAAGGCGTGCACCACCACCACTGCCTGCTTCTTTAAGTGATTATATTTGTTTTGTTTTGTTTTGTTTTGAGACAGGGTTTCTCTGTATAGTTTTGGTGCCTGTCCTGAATCTCACTCTGTAGGCCTCAAACTCACAGAGATCCTCCTGGCTCTACCTCCTGAGTGCTAGGATTAAAGGCATGCGCCACCACCTCCCGGCCTTTAAGTGATTCTTAATGAGATTTGGCTCTGCCATATATCCTGACTAGTCAGCTGGGTCTATTCCTTTTTCTCCAAAGGTGTGAGCACCTATTTGGAGAGGTTCTAGTAGCTCTCAGTGGGGTTGGCTGATTTCCATGGTGTAAATACCTGTCCTGTGGCCACTTTCAGGCCACCAATGTGATGCCACTAAATGTGAAGTTCAGAAGAAGTCTATGTAGTGGGCTCTGGTGAGCCAGTGTGGGCTTCCTCCAGTACATCTCTGGTCCAGACAGACCTGACTGGTTATTTATGAAACCCAAGTTCTGCCATGTGAGAATTAGGCAATTATTGCCCTCACCGATACCCTTTTTAGGGATAGTGAGCTGGTGTGTCAAGAGTCCCTGTCATTCCTCAGCTCAGTGGCCACCAACATGGAACTACACCATTCACATCTAAGTATCTTTGTGTCAGCTGACACAGAGCCCTGTCTGTCCATGTGAGGCTTTGAACCAGGGGCTGGGGCTGCTGGTTCACAAACAACGAGTTAAGAGGTCTGGGCCTATTCCTGCCACAGACTTGCTTGTAAACTTGAGTGAGGTGTTTAACACCAATGGGTCTCAGGCTTCTTATCTTTTAAACAGATCCCAATTCTGGTTGAAAATCCCTTATTTGAAATGGGAACAGAAGTTTTTGGGATCTGGGATGCTTTCATCTTTGGGGAATGTGGCATATGTGTAATGTGATGTCTTGGGGGTGAGGAGGGCCGTGGGTAAACCCGATTCACTCACTGTGTTACATATACACTGTATAAGCACAGCTGGAAGATGAGTTCATGCAAATCTAATACAGCTGCATTTTGACTGTGATCCATCACATGAAGTCAAGTGTGGAATTTTCCATTGGTGGGGTCACGTTGGTGCTTAAAAAGCTTTGCTGGGAAGTGGGGGTTGGGGGCTGGACCTGCATTCCCTCCTGCCAAGGTTGGCTGGCCTCAAACACACTAACAGCTGTAAAGTACTCAGGGCAGCTCTGACAGAGGAGGTGCCATGAGTGCTGGCTGTCACTGCTGTGATTGTTGTCACCCTTACAGTGGTACCATAGGGCACAGCTCTGATGCTGCTTGCCCATGATGTGATTTGAGATGGGCGACTTGGCCCCTTGGCCTTTCATTTCTTTATTGAGTTCACCGATCCCAGTTGCTCATCCCCAGGGGCTCATATTCTAACTAGAGACAGGAAAGCCACAACCAAGTGCATTTTGCAGGTGCTGGGATTACAGGGTGTGCGGAAGCCAGAGGGCCATTGTGGAGATTGGGCCTCATTTGGATGTCAGAAGAAGACTTAATGACATTAAGGAAAGCCTGGGAAGAGGAGCAGGTGCCACCAGGAGGGAGGGGAGGAGCTTGCCAGGTAGCGGCCCACCCAAAGCAGCCATGGGGGGAAGTGACGAGCAGTGGAGCATTTGGGAGATGCAAGTGGAAGGGGTGTGTGGGACACAGTAGCTGTTGAGAGAGACAGGTGGAGACCAGGTGGGGAAGACCTGGAAGGCTAGTGTAAAGGCTTAGGTAGGGGGCTGGAGAGATGGCTCAGCACTTAAGAGCACTGGCTGCTCTTCCAGAGGTCCTGGGTTCAATTCCCAGCACCCACATGGTGGCTCACAGCCATCTGTCATGTAATCTGAACCTCTCTTCTCTCTGATGCTCTTTTTGGTCTTGCAGGCATACATGCAAATTACATAAAAATACATGGATAAATCATAAAAAAAAAAGACTAAGGTAGGCATCATCCGAGGGCAGTGCATTGCATGTTCTGGCCCACATGCACAGTTCACTGTCCCACTGTCTTAGTGAGGGATTCTGTTGCTCTGAAGAGACACCATGACCACGGCAACTCTTAGAAAGGAAAACATTTAATTGGGGTGACTTACAGTTCAGAGAGGTTCAGACCATTATCACCATGGTGGAATATGGCAGTGTGCAACCATACGTGGTGCTGGAGGGTAACGGAGAGTTCTTACATCTTGTCCTGCAGGCAACAGGATGTGGTTTGTCTCACTGGACGTGGCTTGAGCATATATGAGACGTCAAGGCCGACCTCCACAGTGACACACTTCCTCCAAGGGCACACCTCCTAATAGTGCCACTCCCTTTGGGGGCTATTTTTTTTTTTCAAACCACCACAACCACCATCCTGTACAAGACGTATAGAGGCATGCCTACACACACACACACACACACACACACACACACACACACACACACACACACACACAAGGACCAACCTGACCAGAATCCTTCCCCTTCCTTCCAGGTTCCAGGGCAAAGAGGGCTGGGCCCCTGCTTCCTACCTAAAGAAGAGCAGCGGGGAGCCCTTGGCCCCAAAGCTGGGCCCCAGCTCATCTGCCCACTCAGGGGCCCTCGACCTGGATGGTGTTTCTCGGCAGCAGAATGCTCTGGGCAGGGAGAAGGAGCCGCTCAACAACCAGAGGGATGGCCGGTTTGAAAGTCGCCTGGTGCCAGATGGTGACGTTAAGCAGAGTGAGTGCCACCCACCCTTGCTCCAGACAGCTGAGGTCTGTCGAGCTTCGAGCACCTCTTCCTTGCAACAACCTGCCATCTGTTGATGTCCTGCAGGTTAAAATAAAAACTTGGGGACCTTGGGTAACTCACCCAGCAGAGTACAGAACCTAGATTGTCCCACTGAATCATGATGATAAGCTCCTAGTGTGTGTCAGGAATCTCCTGGTTAGCTCACTGGCTCCTCTGCCAACCTTTGAGGGACGGCTTTTTTTGTTTGTTTGTTTGTTTTTTTGTTTTTCGAGACAGGGTTTCTCTGTGTAGTTTTGCACCTTTCCTGGAACTCACTCTGTAGCCCAGGCTGGCCTCGAACTCACAGAGATCCGCCTGCCTCTGCCTCCCGAGTGCTGGGATTAAAGGCTTATGCCACCACCACCTGGCTTGAGGAACTACTTTTGTTTTACAGATAAAAATCAGAAAAATAGCCGGGCGGTAGAGGCGCACACATTTAATCCCAGCACTCGGGAGGCAGAGCCAGGTGGATCTCTGTGAGTTCGAGGCCAGCCTGGTCTACAGAGCAAGATCCAAGATAGGCATCAAAACAACACAGAGAAATCCTGTCTTGAAAAAAAAAAAATCAGAAAAATAGGTGGTGAGACCAAGGTCATTCACCTGGTAACAGTGGGACTGGGGCTTGAACCCAAGCCCATACCCTCCAGTCTTCTCCATGGCCTCCTATGTGAACCAGGGGGAAAAAAGTCAACCCCATGTTGGGTTTGCTTCCAGCACAGTACTTCACCCCTCTTGCTTTTCAAAGCCTCCCTGTATATATTTTACTGTTAGTATTCGCCATACACCCATGAGCAGGGTTACTCGTCTGGATTGTACTTAGAACTGTGGCCTCAACACAGTGCCCAGCATCTTGTGCTGGTCCTGAAGGCAGCAAGAATCTGTGGAGAATGGACTCCAACCCCTCACAGAGATGAGGGCACTGAGCCGAGTTCCATGCTCTCTTACCATCTTAAGTACAAAGAGCTTCATGGGTGCTACAGGCCACGGCAGGTCTCGTTCTGTGATTCTGGACTCTCATAGTCAAGAGCATAGTCCACTAATACTCGGGACCTAATGAAAATCTGAAGTAACATGACTTTATTAGGATGTTCAGATGCTAAATCAAAGTCTCTTCCACACACACCCCTCACACACACACACCTAATAACAATGGCTCATTTGGTCTAGAGACTCATTTCCATTCTACACAATAGAGCAGTTTTGTGTCTATAGCTGAGATGATGCTTCCGTGCAGTCAAGGATCTTGGTCTCCTGCATCTGTTTCCTGTTGACCTCATCATTCAGTGTGACCCATCACTGTCCAGCCAGTGACAGGCAGGAAGGAGTGAAAGAACTCAATGTTCCACCTTCCCTCATCCTCCACTGGACTTAGTCACATGGCAACACCAAGCTGCAAGGTAGTCCTTATATAGGCAGCTAAATGTCTTGGCTAGCACTCTGTTGTATTTTCTAGTATTCTAGTAGACATGGAAATTGGCATTTCACATTACCCCAGCTGCCAGAGAGAGGTATGCGTTCGGCTGTTCCACAAAAAAAAAAGGACCTATGGCTCAGAGTCAAACAGCAGCTTTGTGTGTGCTGGGATGAGTCTGGGCCCAGCCCTGCAAGGCTCTGAGTCCATGCTTTATGCCCTGTGTGGACAGCCTCCCTTTACTTGAGGATCAGAACCATTCACCTATGGTTCACGTGTAGAAAAGAACCAGGGAAGGCCATGTTGATGGAGGGTCCTGAGGCTAGCATGAGGAGAGTCTATCAGGCTGTTCTCATGAAGGCTCGTGGAAACACAAACATGTGGCTCCTGGACAGAGGAGGGAGGGATGAGACCCCACCTAGCTCCCACAACTGAGAAACTGTCTGTGGAACTCTGCATGTGAGTGAAGTCTTGTTTCTCCATAGGATCACCAAAGATGAGGCAGAGACCCCCTCCTCGCCGGGACATGACCATTGTAAGTGCACGCTTGCCTTGGGACCCCCCCTTCCTGGCCTGGGGCCTGTCTGGTTATCCTCCAGACCTCACCTGTTCCAGTGCTTTCCAAGCAGTTCTTTTTCATGCAGCCACCCTTGTGAAGCAGGCCCAAGCTTAGCAGCACAGATTTGTCAGTGGTGACATTCTAGTATTCTGATCCATTTTTAACTTTATAGGTCCATTTATTAATTCATTAATTCACTGATTTATTTATAGACAGTCTCACTTTATAGCCCTGGTTAGCCTGGAAGTCTCTGTGTAGACCAGGCTGGCTTCAAACTCACAGAGATTCGCCTGCCTCTGCCTCCTGAGTGCTGGGATCAAAGGTGTGCACCACCATGCCCTGCCTATAGGTACCTTTTTAACCAATATACATTGAGCATCCTTAATCCAAAAACCTAAAATCCTTCAAAATCTTGACACTTTGAATGCCAACATGACACCAAAAGTGAAATGAAAATTCCATACCTGACCTTACATGAGAGATCACAGTCAAAACACAGGTGCACTAAAAATATTGTAAAATGTTATAGTTGGGTTAAATATACATGAAGCATAAATGTATTTTGTGTTTGGACTTGGATCCTATCCCCAGGATGTCTCACTGTGTATACAGATATTCAAACTGTAAAGCACTAGTGATCACAAGCAATTTGGAAAGGGGCCTTTTGAAAACGTCTGCCACTTCTTGGGTACCTGTCCAGCACCGTAAATGTACCAGGTGCTTCACTCAGTACCAAATTTAATCGTCATAGCAATGTTCCGGGCCAGTAGTGTTAGGATGCCCGCTGTACAGGAGATGAAGCGGAGGCTTGACATGGCCCTTCATCAGCATTCCAGCCCATATGGGTCTGATTCAAAGACCTGTGGTCTTCCCACAGCCTCTCTGCCTCTTACAGTCAGACACTTTTATGTTTTCTCATATTCTCCTGATACACCGGAATGTCCCATGTCGCTCCTGTTACTGTAAATTTGAAGGGCAAGTGAGATCTCAACTAGGAGATGACAGTCAAATCCTCTGTTTTGCCCCTCAGAGACTAATTAGGCCTCCCAGTAAGTACCCCTTCAGTGGTGGTGCTGTGTACCCCTAGTCCCTCCATCCCACCCTGACTCAGTCAGCTCTGTGTGTAATCCTGCCAGCCTCGAGGCCTCAACCTGCCGAAGCCTCCCATCCCGCCCCAGGTGGAAGAAGAATATTACACCATTGCAGAGTTCCAGACCACCATCCCAGACGGCATCAGCTTCCAGGCCGGCCTGAAGGTCGAGGTGAGCACACCAGCTGTCAATCCTTCCTTGGCATTGCCTTCTCTCTTTGTACTCTTGCTATGGGCAGGGGAGACGAGGTCAACGGCTTGATTAAGGTATCGTCATAATCACCTACCGAACTGTTTGCCAAGTTAAGTGTAAAAGTCAGTGGTTTATTTTACTCAGAGTTATGTAACCATCACCACCTTCCAGTTCCGACGCCCTTAGCAGAAACCCTGTCCCCCCAGCCAGCACCGCCCTTTTTACCTCAACCCCCTAGTCCTTCTCACTAGGGTGGAATCATACAATATATGTCCCTGTGTGGCTGTGGCTGGCTTGTATTTCCATTTCTTTTTTTTTTTTTTTTTTTTTTTTTTTTTGGTTTTTCGAGACAGGGTTTCTCTGTATAGTTTTGTGCCTTTCCTGGAACTCACTATGTAGACCAGGCTGGCCTCGAACTCACAGAGATCCATCTGGCTCTGCCTCCCAAGTACTGGGATTAAAGGCGTGCGCCCGCCCGCCCGCTCGGCTGGATTCTTTTTTTGCAGCTGCCTGTTCTTGTTTCACCGGCCTTTGATTGACTTGATGTTCTTCCCTGTCTGTCTGAGGATGGTGGTTTAACTTGCACTCCTGCTGTCACCACTGATTATCTTTTTCCTCGGTTGTCAATTCTTTTTGTTGTTACTGATGCTCACTGCAGTTACTCCATGGTGTCAGTCCCTGGTTTGGGCTGCAGGGGCTGGAGCTACAGCTCAGCAGTCGACCAGTTTCCTAGCACATGTGAGGCCCTGGGTCCCATTGTTGAGCATCATAGAATGAAGTGAAAGACAAGGCAGCTCTGAGTCAGACAGTCCGTGGAAATACACAAAAGAGGTTGATCGGCTTCCAGAGCCTTCTGAGCCAACTATGGAGCAGTGTCACATCTCTGTGACCCCAGCCTGCAGGGGGGTCACAGTTGCCACCTACAGTCTCCCATACAAGAACGGGACCTAGGGCAGAGGCCAGCCAGGCTGGCTGCTTGTGTCGTGACATGCTAGTTACTCCCAGGCATGCCCTTGCTCCTGCCCCCACCTCCCTCAGTGCCTCCCTGTCTCCTTCCCTTTGCAGAACTCCCTGCCCTCTGAGAAACTGCCAGGAGTCACCTGAGGATTCTTAGTCTCTGATCCACCCCCTACTTCCCTCTGATCTGGGCTGCAGATTCATGACTTCTTTCCTCTAATGTGTTACATAAAGAGAAGACAGTGTCCATTCCATCTTGAAACCATGTAGGCTATGAAAGCCTTCTTCCCCTGAGAGCTGAAAACCACCGTGTGGTTTTAAGACACAGATTCCCTGGGCTGGGGGCACAGCTCTGTGGTAGAGCGTAAGGCTGGTGTGCACACACAGACCCTGGATTCAGTTCAGTTCATGAAAGCTGGAGATCCTTTGACAGTGTATCGCCTGCAGTTTCTACTAACCCACGGTACTGAGCAGTAAGCGCTGCCACCCCGGCTCAGGATGCTCAGAAGTCTGCCGGGGATCCTCAGGATCTCTGCAACGCATCGGCACTGAAAGCGGGGGGCGTCAGTGGAATTGTTGCAGCTCCTCTTCTTTTCTGACCTTTCTCCTCTATTCTTGCTCAAGCTGGTCCAGCGACAAACTCATATCCAACACGACACGCTCCACACACACACACACACACACACACACACACACACACACACACACACACACACACACACTGTAGCCCTAGCTGGTCTGGAACTCGCTGTGTGCACCAGGCTGGTCTAGAACTCAGCGCCTGCTTCTGCCTCCCGAGAACTGGGATGAAAGGCGTGTGCCACCATGCTCAGCCATGTCAAGCTTTGTTTAACAAAATCATCGCCACCACCCACCTCGAGACTTTTTTGCTTTCCAGTTCCACGATGCTGATAGATCCCACCGGTGGATTTTTTTTGAGGGAATAATTGCCACTAATGCTTGGGGCTTAAACAGTTGTTGTTTCGTGTGATGAGTTCCATACACCGTTTTCCTTTTTCCTCTTTTGCTTTCTGGTTCATATCTGTATAATCTCAGGCCTCCACGCTCATTAATGCATCCAGAAGCTCCTGGCAGCCAGGCTACAGTGAGACTCGCTCATTGTCCGCCCTGTTTATCCTTCAAACATGTTTTGAGATGGCAGTGGGGTGGCGGTGGCGATTGTACTGTTGATGTAGGCACCTCCCTGGTGCCTTACCTACTTGACAACTGTGCTCAACAGGAGGCCTGGGAGATCGGTGTCAGCCTGTCTCACAGATGCAGCTCAGGGAGTGGGTCAGTGCTTGCCTAAGGGTGCAGTTAGTGAGAGGTGGAACAGAGACTCGAACTGAGATCTGTCTGGTTTTAAAGCCCAGGTTCTTTCCTTTCCTTTGGTTCTAGCGACCTTGCGTTTGTTTCTTCCATCATAACACGTGGCTTCTGTCTACCAACAAGAACCCAAATAGGAGATGGCACGGGTACATAGGCCTTTAATCCCTGCACTCAAGAGGCAGAAGTAGTCCAACCTCTATGAGCTGGAACCAGCCTTGTTTTCCTAGGAAGTTGCAGGGCAGCACAGGCTACCTAGTGAGACCTTGTCTCAAAAGAAAAAAAAAAAAAAAAAACCAAATGGCCGGAGTTTCTGCCACTCTCCTTTCCCCTGAGTGTCTGTCACAAAGCCACACTGGCATCTTCTCTTCATCATTGTCCCATTTAGCTTCCCTCACGCTGGCTTAGTGATGGAGTTGAATTGCTGATGAAGGCCATGTATCCAGCAGTGACATTAACTGGACCCACACTACTGAGTATAATAGCATACCAGTCACATATTTGTCAGTCCGCTAGACTCACGTGTCCTGCCTGTCCCCGGCATCCTTTCCTTGGTTGACCTTCCCTCTGTTTGGCTAATGTGACACCCACCAAGTGCAGTTGCTGCTTTCACAAAGATGGGGCGCTCTTGCGTGTCTGGGCGTTAGTAAGTCTTGCCATTGGGTGTTACCGCTGCTGTCGTCATTCACGTGGCAGAGCTCTGAGCTGACACCCAGGACTGCAGGCCCCAGAGTTGGTCTCCCAGTGCTGAGTCTGTGCCCGCTGTCGCTCCTGCCAGGCCTCAGTCCTTGTGACTCCTGTAGCAGTTCCTCAGGCCAGGCTTGGCTCTTCCTAAGAGGCAGGGTCTGGCAGTACTCAGAGCCCAGCTGCTCGCCCTCCGTGCTCCCCTCCACCATTCACTCTCTCCAGAACCCTCTTCCCAATCCTCAGCTCTCCTGAGGTTCTGCTCTGCATTTGTAGAAAGGGATGATGGTCCCTGGATCACAGGAAGGTCATGAGCATCACATTTCCTGTGTACAGAACCTGCTGGGGAATTGCCTTTGCTGGTTTTCTTAGGCCTGCTGTATACCAAAACACCTCAGATGGGCTAGATTAAACCCAGTGATTTACCTTCTCATGGTGCTAGAGTCTAAGATGAAGGCGTGGCAGGATTGGTATCTCCTGTGGCTTCTTTTCTTGGGACGTGCAGTCCCTTACTCTGTATTTCCAAATCTCTTCCTTTGAAGATATCAGTTTAGTAAACTAGAGCCTGCTCTTATGACCCATTTCTACCTAGTTACCTCCTTAAAGGCCCCATCCAGAGGCAAGGACATTTGGAGTGCTGAAGGTGAATGCTTCACACAGGGATTCGGGGGCACACTTCAGCCAATAGTATACAGTTTGTGTGTCACTCATCTCCAAGAATTCACTCGGATGATACTAGATCAAAAAGACAAAGGGAACATCAAATCTTAAATAACATCAGCATCTCTACCCACCATTCAATTCAGTGGGTATGGGCATGAGGGAGAGATGGAGATAAGAGATGAACTCGGGGGCTGGAGAGATGGCTCAGAGGTTAAGAGCACTGACTGCTCTTCCAGAGGTCCTGAGTTCAATTCCCAGCAACCACATGGTGGCTCACAACCATCTGTAATGAGATCTGGTGCCCTCTTCTGGCCTGCAGTCATACATGCTGTATACCTAATAAATAAAATAAATCTTAAAAAAAAAAAAAAAAAAAAAAGAGATGAACTCGGGGCTGGAGAGATGGCTCAGAGGTTAAGAGCACTGGCTGCTCCTCCAGAGGTCCTGAGTTCAATTCCCAGCGACCATGTGGTGGCTCACAACCATCTAAAATGAGATCTGTTCCCCTCTTCTGGCCTGCAGGCATACATGCAGACTAGAACACTGTGTACATAATAAATAAATAAATCTAAAGAGAAAAGAGAGATGAACTCACTTTATTCCTCTGGCCTCTGTTCCCCTGCATGTAGGCATAGCGTGTCATCGCCCTAAGTGTGATTCCTGTGTTTAAAGATTCCCATTTTTCATATGGCGTAGCTGCTGTAAACACCAGCCAGCTCCTCTCGTGTTCAGCTGAAGAAGCCAGGATCAAGGGCAGTTTTCCCTCTCTGTGGCTTTTGCCCTGTACTTCTTTGGTATTGCAGCAGGAGGCATTGGTGGCCTAGTCCTCCCAAGTTGGCCTGCAGCTGCCCATAGATCCCTGTAGCTTCCCACCTCACAGAGGGAAAGGGAATTTAAGCCCAGGGTGCAGAGGGTCTGGATGTCAGTAAGTACCCCTCCCCCAAAGGTGCCTTCTAAGGCACTGTCCGCCACATCTTTCAAAGGGTCCTCATCACAATCCACAAGTGGACAAGAACCTGATAGATATGGCAGTGTGCACCTACAATCCCAGCTATTCAGGTGGCTAGGGCAAGAGGATGGCTGGAGCCAGGACTTAGAAGCTAGACTGGCAGTATAGCAATACTCCCATCTCAAAAATCAATATGGACAAGAATCCACCTTCAATGAGGTGTCCTGATACAGTGTCCATAGCTGGTTGTATTAGTCACTTTTCTATTGCTGTGACAAAACACCATGACCAAGGCAACTTATAAAGCCTTTAGCAGGGATTGCAGTCTCAGGTTTTAGGAGTCCGTGATGGCAGAGCAAAGGCATGGCAGCAGGAACAGCTAAGAGCTCACTTCTTGATCCACAAGCAAGAGGCAGAGAGAGACACTGGAAATGGCACAAGTCTTTTGAAAGCTCAAAGCCCACCCCCAGTGACACACTTCCTCCAACAAGGCCACACCCCCTGTTCTCTCCCAAACAGTTCCACTAACTGGGGACCAGGTATTCAAATATAAAGAGCCTATGGGTCATTGTCATCCACACCACCACACTGGTCTAGCATAGACCTCATAGGAGAATTTGCAGGCTCAGAGGACAGCTTCCAGGGTGCCTGTTTCATGTGGGTTCTTTCATAAATTGCGGACCCCGCCTGGGCTGTGGTATCAGACCTACTAAGCACTTTTCCTGTCCCCCTCCTAGGTGATTGAGAAGAGTTTAAGTGGTTGGTGGTACATTCAGATGGACGATAAGGAGGGATGGGCACCAGCAACCTTCATTGACAAGTACAAGAAGACCAGCAGTGCCTCAAGGCCCAACTTCCTGGCTCCCCTGCCTCATGAGATGACTCAGCTCCGGCTTGGGGATGCAGCTGCAATGGAGAACAATCTGGGTCCAGAAGCAGTGGGGCCCTCCAGGCCCCTGCCCGAGGCACCACATGGTGCTATGGACTCTGGGATGCTGTGGTCCAAAGACTGGAAAGGGGGAAAAGAGGCCCCAAGAAAGGCATCTTCAGACCTGTCTGCATCAGCAGGCTATGAGGAGATCTCAGACCCCACACAGGAGGAGAAGCCCAGCCTCCCTCCACGCAAAGAGTCCATCATCAAGTCCGAAGAGGAGCTGCTGGAGAGGGAGAGACAGAAGATGGAACCACTCCGGGGCTCTTCCCCCAAGCCACCTGGCATGATTTTGCCAATGATTCCAGCCAAGCATGCCTCGCCGGCCCGGGACAGCAAGAAGCCAGAGCCCAAACCCGACAAAACCAAGTTGTTCCCACTGAAAAACGACATGGGACTGGAGTGTGGCCACAAGGTGCTGGCCAAGGAAGTGAAGAAGCCCAACCTCCGTCCCATCCCCAGGTCCAAAGCCGAGCTGCCCGAGGAGAAGGCGGAAGCCACTCCCCAAAATCTGTTCTTGAAGTCTAGACCTCAGGTTAGGCCCAAACCAATTCCTTCCCCCAAGACGGAGCCAGCTCAGAGGGAAGATCAAGTGGACATCTACAACTTCAGGAGCAAGCTCAGACCTGCCAAGTCCCAGGAGAAAGCCTTATTGGATGGGGAGAGCCACCATGCTGCTGGGGGCCATGACGCAGCTCTCAGCCGAAGCTTCCTTCCAGCAGAGGGCCGTGGTCAGGACAGGTCTGGCAGACAGGATGGGCTGAGTCCAAAGGAGACACCCTGCAGAGCCCCTCCCAGGCCGGCTAAGACCACAGACCCTGCACCCAAAAATTTGCCTATGCCTGTCCAAGAAGCTACCCAGCAAAGACCCGTCGTCCCACCTCGGAGACCCCCACCCCCCAAGAAAACCTCCTCGTCACCGTTGTCGTGCAGGCCCCTCCCAGAGGTCAGAGGACCACAGCGTGAAGCCAACGAAAGCCGGGAAGTTCCTGCCCCAGGCCGTGCCCTCCTTGTCCCTCCGAAAGCCAAACCCTTCCTAACCAACTCCTCCTCGGTAGGCCAGGATGACATGCGAAGCAAAGGTGGGCTGGGGCCACGCCTGGCTGGCAAGGTGGGAGAAAACAGAGAGAAAGCAGCCTCCTTCCTCAGTGCCGATGGCCCAAAGGACTCACTGTATGTGGCTGTGGCCAACTTTGAAGGAGACGAAGACACCAGCAGCTTCCAAGAAGGGACAGTGTTTGAAGTTCGGGAGAAGAACAGCAGTGGCTGGTGGTTCTGCCAGGTCCTCAGCGGGGCTCCTTCCTGGGAAGGCTGGATTCCTTCCAACTACCTCCGGAAGAAACCTTAGCTTCCCACCCTGCTCAGAGACCCCGCAGTCCCTGCCGGCCTCTCCCATGTATTTAATATGCATCTTAATTTATCAGTCTCCACACAGTTTCAAGGAAGGAGGCCACTGGGGTGCTGTGGCTTCTTCTCTCCCAGAGTGGAGAATGCTTGGTGCAGAGATGTCCTGTCACCTGGGGTCTGATTCTCCTGTTGTGGCACCCCCAAAAGGCTCGAAAGCCACACAGCCTTTGCTAGGTAGAAATCACATCAACATCTTTCTCTATAGTAGCACCCGTCCTCCTAGCCAATAGCATTGTCACCTAGGAGCAGGACAGTGACACTCAGATCTCCAGGACTGAGACCTGTCACCTGGAGAGCTTCCAGACTGCACCCCAGTGTTCAGATGTGGCATAGAGGGACAGCCTATACAGCCTGTGACAACTCTAACGTCTCCATGTTTCCGGAAGCCCGGTAGTGGCTTTGTTCAGTGTTCCCAGAATGCCTGGTACCCGGAAGAACCGTGTCCTGAAGGACTCAGCTTCCAGGCTTTCTGTTTCTACGTCCTGACCAGATGCAGCTTCCGTGAAGTGATCCTGGAGATTCACTCACTCATCCTGCCTCCCGTCGGCCTTGGACGGGGATCAGTCCTGAAGGAGCATGCCTCACTTCACTGCTGCAGCCTCTGGTCCATCCAGGGCTTTGAAATTACAAAAGCCTCCCAGTCCCACCTCCCCCAGTCCCTAAAACAAGTCTCCAAGTTTGTTTAAATAAGGGGCCCTTCGCAAGGCATACAGCCTGTGAGAGCTTTTTTCCCTAGTAGGTGCCAAACTGCCCTTGGGCTTTTGCCTTCATGTCCAAACCTTCAACCAGCCCCCACCGTCTATCACACCCATTTTCCAGATGAGGGAACGTGGGCTCTACGGGCCCCAGGAGGTACCAGCTAGGAAGAGGAGGGGGAGGAGGTTTGAGTCCAGGCCTGCCTGATTCCAACACCCATGTTCTTCTGGCAAGAACAAGCCGGTGAGGAAGGAGAGGCGGGTTGACCAGGGCAGATGGCCTGGGGGCTTCCTTGTGGTATGAGCAAGGGGACAGTAGTGACTGCCATAGACTTGTGGCTGCTTCTCCGGGGCAGGGTATGCCCTGGATCCTTGGTAGCTGGTACAGAGCTTGTAGGCTGGTACCCCATGTGGGCAAGGGGAATACGGAGAGCAGAGGCAGTGTCTCTTGGTGGTTTAAAGAGGGCTCTGGTAGCCAAGGACCAGCAGCCGGGTCTGTGGTAAACTGAGCAGAGCAGTAGTAGCCAAGACCCTGCAGTAGCCAAGACTCTTGCCCCTGGCAGGTGGTTTCCTGGAGAACTGCCCAGGGCAGCCCTTCCCTATTTTGACTAAATAGACTTAACTGGGACCTCAAGAGGTCTGCTTAGCTATCACAGGGCTAAAATCAGGACTCAGATTTCTAGCCCCCAGCCCAGAGCAACTTGTGCCTATGAACAGGCTTCCTGTAAAAGAGGGGTGGGGTTGAGAGAACAGAACTCCATCTCATCCCAAAGACCCTGCAGAAGAGGCTGCCCTGTCCTGCTCTATGCCTACCCCAGGAATCTCTCTCACTCACACCACACCCTTTTTTTGTTAACCTGTGCTTTGGGAACCGCAAAGCCCATTTTTCAAGGTGTTTGCATCCTACCTGCAGTGCCAAAGAGTTTGTGCAAGCAGATCTCTTCTGCGCCCCCACCTGACCAGCCCCTCTGACCCATGGTGGCACATGGCTCTCTTCCTCTGCTCAGCCCCACCGTCCCCCACCCTCCACCCCCCAGCCCAGAGTACTGGGCCAGGGTACGAGGCCCCTCCTGAAGGACATTCCTGCTTAGTCTATGCCCAGGGCCTCAGGAGAGAGAGGCAGTAGGGAGAGGGGAGGCTGAGAGAGTCTTAGACTTCTTCAAGGCAACGCACACACCCCACCGTGCAGGAAGCCTCATAGCTTTTGTTGTGTTTTTTTGAGTTTCAACACCTTCTCTTGAATAGCTTTCATGAAGCTGTTTTACAGGTCTTTGAAGAGGCAAAGATTTTTTGGGTTTTTTTTTTTTTTTTTTTGCGTTTTTTTGTTTTTCTTGTTTGCATTTGACTCTCTGTAACCTTTTCAAGTAGTTTGCACGTCCCTACTTTGCAGCAGGTACTAGAATTTGCCTTTTGTCCTATCCTTGTGCTGAGGTGAACTGTAGATATGCAAGATGCATTCTCTGCTCACTGTCCTTTTCTTGGGTCACATGCACAGCCTGGAGATTTCTGTGGCAAGCTCCATCAACCATAGTGGTCATCTTGCTCTGGTCAACTGGAAGTGAGTTGGTCTGCGGGAGTCAGTGACTCACCCAGCTTCCCTTACCTGGGACTAAGCTTTTCAACATCCAGGAATGTGGCCACTCCTCTGGGATGGAGTGTGTACCAGACTCCCCTCCATCCCTGCCTTGGAAAACTTCCAAGACCATGGTAGCAGTGTCTGGACTAATCACAGATCAGATCACCACCCCCTTAACTAATCTTCACATCAGCCCTGTCAGATGCCAAGGATCAGCCCTAATATGTAATGAGAAAGTTAAGATGTGGAGGGTGATGGCACATCCAGCCTCGTCCAGATACTGGCCACCAGCAGAGAAATGTGTATAGTCCTTGCAGGCAATCAGGTGACCCAGTTTCTGAATTTAGGTGTTGCCCCCACAACCCCCTGGCCAAACATTGGCCACAGACCCCTGCAGATGGGCCCTGCTCTCTGACTCCACGACTGCATTGTTTCTGCCTGAGAGCAAGTGTAGTGGCCTGACCTCTGGAGACCTGGACTTGAAAACGGCCACTCGGTAAAATGAGACTTTGCTTATCTTTTCTGGCCAGAGTCACTCGTGGCCATTTGTGTTTATATCATGGCCCCAGTCCAAGACCAGGGAAGGGAGGGAATGACTAGAGCTGTGTCAGGCATTTTCAGCCTCTGCCACCAGGCTTCTCCATAGAGTAGATTTCTGTGGCACAGTTCTTGACCTTAAACTGCTTCTAAACCCACTGGGGACTTGGGTAATGGGTGGAAAGTATTGGGGGCACATGTGCCTCAGTAAAGAACAGGTCTCCCCAAGACTTAAGAAGGACAATCCAGTGTTTATTACCAAATATGTGCTCTAAGTTCGAGGAAGGAACTACCCCTACCGTAAAAGCTGCCGACTGGAGGTGCTTCACTGGCCTGCATTCGTGGGGCCCCGGCTCCATCCCAGCATCACAGATAATCAGGAACATTAATGGCTTAGCTCCTGTCCTACCATTGAGCTCTTCAGTGCTGACATAGTCTGCATCTTGGGAAGCCTTGCCGTTTCTTTGAATAGCATGGCAATCTCAGCTCCTTCGCTAGCTGTCTAAACTGTCCTTCAGGGTTTTTCTGTATCTACAGACAGCCATATCCTACCACAGACCAAAGATTCCCTGAAGCAGAGGGGTGTGGGCTGAATGGGTAGGAAATTAATTTGCAGCTAGGCCTGAGGCCTTGCCTTCGCTTGGAAGAGTAGCTCCTGACTTGCTGGGGTTCTAGCAGCTGGACCGACCTGACCCCAAGCAGAGCTATAGAGTTAAGACCATGGTTCGTACTCCTCACCTGCTCATGGGCCACCTTCTGAACAAACTTCCCACAGACCAGACCTCCCTGCTGTGTGGAGTGATGCCTGGTCTCCGGTGCTAACTAGTCGAGGTACCAAGCCCCTCCTATGTGAGTGTTCCATCTTCCTTCCCGTCTCCATCCTCTTCCCCACAGTCAGAATGAGGGCTCAGCTTTCATCAAGACCAGACCCGGTGCCATCGCCAGCGGCCTTCACTCTCACGTCTATGCTTTGAACAGCAAAGGTGCCCACCAGGCTTACTACAGCAATAAGCAATTCTAATGCAATGGAGGTGTCCATATTATGCCTGCAATGCCTTTGTGCCCTGTAATTACTAGTAGCACCTCCCTTACTGGGTGTGTGATAAACCGTGGTCACCTTAGCCATACCCAGTTCCACTGGGGAGCTCGGTTGGTCCTCACACCCCTCTAGGAACAGTGGGCTCTGGGCAGCATGGCTCATTGTGTGTGTCTGTCCATAGATGATGCTGGGGACCCCTGGGTTCTCAGCCCATCTCACACTCCCTAGGCCCATTGACAGATCCTGGTGTTGGCTTTTGTTTCCCGTGAGTGTTAAATGTGAGGGGGCAGGGGATGAACACCTAGCTGTAGCATGTAGAGACTGTACACCATTAGACTTTTCTTTTTTAAAATAAAAAAAAAAAAAAGCTTGACTGGTTTCAAGCTTCGTTGTAAAGGTGGAGTGTTTGTGAATTTCATTTGGCTGAAGGGGATGCATGGCTTCATGCCCTGGTATCTGGACCTGAGGTCTTTGTGTCTGAAGAATAGAAATGAATGCAAGCTGTTTGGGCATTGCCCAGAAACAATAGTGACTCTTCCCTGGGCCTTGGCACACCTTCAATCTTTTAATTTGATGTTAAAAAAAAAAAAAACACCAGCCTGGCAGTGGTGTTGCACAACTTTAATCCCAACACTTGGGAGGCAGAGGCAGGTGAATCTCTATGAGTTTGAGGCCAGCTTGGTCTACAGAGTGAGTTCCAGGACAGCCAGGGCTACACAGAGAAACCCTGTCTTGAAAAGAGAAAAACAAACAAAAAATAACAAAACCCACAAGAGAAAGCCACCTTATATTTGCAGGGAATCTCAGTTCTGCGTAAGGATTAGAAATGTCACAGGGCCAGGGTGTCTTGCTCCTGCTGACACTACCTTCTGGTGAGCAAGAGTACAGGAACGTAGGGAAAGCATGCAGACATCACTGGGCTACAGGACACCCAGGTTCTCTGTTCACAAGTGGTATTTATGAATGTCTCAAAGGCAGAACCAAGGCAGAGTCTTGAGAGGAAGCCAAGGACATTTGCCACCCTCTGGCCCAGTGTTTATGGCCCTCCCATCTTAATCATTTTTCATAAAATATAAGTGTGCCAAAGTGTGTTTATGCAATATCTGCTTCTCAGAATGACCTGAGAAGGTGTTCTGTGATCAGTTTTATATGACTCTAGACTCTCGTGAGGACCCTTCCATGTCCCCTGGGCACGTGGACACATTGGCAATGGGAGATAAGGAGGAAGGGGCATCAAATGCCTGATGGAACTTAACCCGTGT